GTTTACATTGGAAGGTCTTGCAGTAGTGATGTATATCAAAAGTGATACAAAAAACACATACTTTCCCCGTATGACTAGTGACTGGTCACAACGCCAAAATAAGGCTGTTTAGTGTCGGATAAGATTAACTATTTGTTAGTGTGTATTGGTGCGGAGTAGCAAATAGGAAATTTTGTAATTATCTAATTGTATTTAATTTCTTCGGCACTGAATATTCGGGTATTTTTTTTTTTTTGTGCTGAGACATTATAGTCTTTTACTGGTACGACAACAAACCTATTTTAATTTTAATTAATTGTAATTAATAATGCATTTTAATTGTAATTGTTTACCTGATGATTAATTATTGATTAAATAAATTAATAATAATATTAATAATAATAATAATAAATAAAATAAAGCAACATGAATATCACGATAAAAATTCTTCTTATGGTGACCACAACGTGGAGAGATTCATATCTATCTATATACATATATATATATATATATATATATATTGTTTGAAAGCATTAGCGAAATTGTTCTTTGATTTGACCATAACTATAAGAAAAGTCACTTAAATATATTGCTTTGGCCATCTTCTAGCCATGGCATTACGCGGTAACGAGTTCTATAACTTTATGGCGTTGATAAAAAATACTCGTGACGATCTTAAATACTTATGGTCAAAGTCATCGAATGTCTGGATCTGACAAATCGGATTTTCTTAAGTAGGCAAGTTGACGTACAAGTATAAAGAAAGAAAGAAAGAAGTACAAGATATGATGAAAGATCGGAATTGAAAGTCTTTCAGCGATATTCTGTCGTATATGGGCTTAAAGAAAATGTATCTGGCACACTTAGTGACAAGCGTAGCTTAGCACTTCGTGCCAGCCGTATACGCCGGCGGCATACGATATAAGTGGCACAACACGGCATTTAATTAATTTGAACTTAGCTTGATAAACGCAGTTTCCTCGGAATGCTGTGCAGTTTCCTCGAAATCGACATGATAGTCAGCCCACATGACGTGGGCAAATTATAAAGCCATGATTGGTAAACTGCTTGACAATGTCGATCGCTATATCACCCATTCTAATATTAGATGGAAAGGCGGAATCATAAACATAGCCTTCCATAGCCACGATAGCCTTCCTTCCTTAAGGCTTTAAATTATTGACAACGGACCAATGCGGGATGCGCGACAAGCCGCCTTGGGTGAGACAGGTATAATTGAGGATCATGTGCATGTAAATGAATAATACCACAACAAATAACTAGATTACTAATAAAGATAGAAGAGATGGAACAGAATGAGCCTTGGGTGTTATCAGAATTAACGCCTGTAATCTCAGTGGAGAATGAGGCGGCTTTTGCGCAGTGACACCAGTCTAACAAACTTGATCGCAGTCGGACCAAAGGCAAAGTAAGAACTTAGCTTTTTTAAGAGTTTTTTAACTATGATTCATTGCATCGAAGGCTTTAGAAAAATCGTCAAGTTCCCCTTATGCTCCTTAGCGGTGTTACCTAGCCTATGACCTAGCTTTAAACCTGACCGTGCTTGAAAAAGTAATTTTTCGGAACACATCTGCAGCGTAATCTGATTAGTTAATAATCGCGCAAAAACTTTCGGCAGAGCAGCAAGAATACTGATAGGTTGATAATCACCTGGTGAAACTGGCGCCGCCCATTTCGTAATAGGTGTTATGATCGCCATTTTCCAACAATACAGGAAGTAATTATATGATTCAATCAATATGAGTCAATGGGAAGACCACAGCGGGAAGGCCAAATTTAAAAGATGTAATACTGACAATATTAGAACCAACGACATTAGTGTTAATACTATAATCATGATATCAATACTAATACGCACTGGTTTGCTTCCATGCTTGCTGATGCCAAAAAAAAAAAAAAAAATTTACGATTTTAATTGAACATATTTTTGCGCGATTTTCCTAAATCCAACACACAGATGTCTGAAATTTGTTCAACGTTCACAAAGTGGAGCGTCAATGTCCGTCTATCCACTGTTGAAATTGCGAATATTTAATATGCCATACGGTGTACTTAAATACTTAACCTTGAATAATTTTTTTTTTTATTTTCACCAGATGAACATTAAAAATCTAAATAGAAAGCCTAGGCTTACGCAATATTATTACAGTTTTGCAAAGAAAAATCGCGAAAAAAAAAATTACTTGAAATATTTATTGTATCGAGAATTCAAAAAGCAAGCGGTTTAATGCAACAAAATAAATACAAACAGAGGGATCGAGACTACGGCCCGCGATTAAAATCCCTACACCACGCTATAGTTATTTATGTAACAATTTAAAAAAAAAAAAGGGAACGTACGTGGGAAGTAGCCGCAAAAATGATACGAGCCCAATAGCGTTTGTCTTGCGCCCACAAGACGCTAGTGCACCGAATTTCACCAAAGGCAGACGGACAGAAGGGTTAGATCGACGTAAACAGTGATTCTGAATCGATTGGTATTATAAAAGATGAGTCTATTTCAAGGCCTTCTTGGTGTTGCATACATCCATACAAACCTAATGTGTTCTTATAGCACTTGTTGCGTGGGGTATCAAAGTTGATTTAGGCCGAAGAATTTTCCTTTTGTTCATTCATATTAAAGGGATAAGAGCTCTGTAGGTTACCTCATGCCATCGATATGTCGACACGAACGTGTTGAACAATATAAGAAACGTGTTCTTAAATGAATTGGAGAAATTTTCAAAAAAATTGATTTATCGCCTTTAGTGTGTAAGTGAAGTAGAACTTGTAAAATGCTTCCTTAGACTGTCTGTCAAACACACATTGTTTGAGCGACCAATTGTATACATACATGTGTTTGCGTGTCAGTACAATAATCTTAATGCAAACAAACTCGCTCAAATGTATCCGACAATATTAGAATATTTGTGTAAGAATAATGGCCGGCGTTTAAGCACATTACTCTAGTATGAGTAAATTGCTTGCATAAGGAAGAAATATAAAAAAAAAAAAGAAAAGTAAAATATATTTTTATGCCAAAAATTTCGTCAATATGCTTATACGCACGTCAAGTGGTCAGCCACTTAGATTTGAGATCAATATATCCGGTAATAATAAGACAGTAACAAGTTCTTCACCCACCATTATAGTCTATCAAAATTCGATTTTCTTTTCGACAGAAATAAGCCTCCAAAAATCCCGTAGTGTATATAGAAATTCTTGGCCAGTTTCAAATTTGAAACGGCACCTGAACATGTCCATATGTCTGTGTCTGTGCAATCGTGCAGTATCTGTGATAAATGAGCTTCCGTTAACAAAACTGAGGAATTCTGAGGAAGTGACTTAAACTTTTCCAAAGACACGATGCGCCTATGTGACAAAAAACTTTAGCCACGCCTACTCCATATTATAGAGCATGAAGCATTGGTTTTTTTTACTTTTTTTGCCTTTGTTAGGATAACGGTGATGGGTATGAAAGATTCGATCACAATCGAATATATATAGTCTGGATTGGCAATTTTTGAGAAGGCTTGAGACTTCTAGCAAACATAAGAAGATCAAATGGATAGGTGCAAAATAGTCTAAGAATCGTATAGTAGCTTAAAAAGTTTATAGTGTGTATGAGGTTGATCGATGATGGAACGATGCGATCTTCTTGAGAGACCGTATACGGCTTAGATACGCTCCTCACCAGGCCTAGATTGAAACGAGATGTCTTGAATAAATTCTTCATAATATTTATTGCAGTGAATATTATATTGTATATATATATATTGGCAAGTTCCTAGCCAATCTGGAACAGTCGAGTGCAGCTAGGCCTCACCACTGACCAGAGTGGGGTTTATTTTTCCATAGACAATAAACTGTTCTGGACTCTGGTGTTGTTTAGGCCCCTACTCTGTGGGGATTGTCTAACTCGCCAGGGGGCGTAGTACGCTTAAAGTGGCTTGGGCCACCGCGGGGTTGAGCCTTTCAGGCAGGATCCCACGATAAACGCATGCTACAAATTCTGTATATATATATTTAGATCGTTTATTGAAACATATGATCATATTATTTTGCCCGTGAGAGCCTATTCGTGACCTATTTACTTCAATTTTCTTCTTATTCGTTTTGATTTTAATATTTCAATATTTGCGAATTTTTCAATATCTGCTATATTCAATCATAAAATCGTGCAAGTTTTTACTTTACTTCACGACTATTCATATGCATTATAATAGTATTTGAAATGAAATAATTCGACGGTTTCCAAAACCGTGAACTTCAATGTGTGCATCTCCTCTTAATGTATTTCTAAGCAAAAAAAGGGAGAAGAAGGGTGAGTAAAATAGTTCCACTATCAGCGAGAGTGATATCAAGTCCAAATGTACACAATGTACAGAACGAAAAAAGTTAATAAATTCGTATTATTAGAATTCATGGTTTCGAGATTTGAAAAAAACCACGCCTCGGCGGGCTACAGACAAAATAAAGTCTTGAAACCTCAGTTCACATAAATGCACACATGATAGGGTGAGCCTAGCCTATCAAGTGAAACTCGTACATTTCTGAAATAATAAAAAGTAAAACGAAGGGAACGGTATAAAATTATATATGAATTAGATCGGGTCATTTAACAACTTCCTCCAATGCCCGATGTTCCCTTTGTTGCTAATGTAAAAGGTGACCAATTATCGTTTAGAGAAAATTTCTACACGGTTATGAAATTATTGCGAGACTTGTACTCGCCCGCTTCAATTACGCCTACCTTTTGTAAGGGCCGATACACATTTTGGCACCCCCGCACATGTCCAAACTGCGTAAGTCCACCTTCCCCTATTCTCACATAACTTTTAAATATATGTAGTTAAAACTAAATATATTAATCGAAAAAATATATATAAATTTTTTAGTTACCAATTACGGATGGACTCTTTCTAAGAATCAAGGTGGGCTTGAATCGATAGGCAATTTGGAATAGTATAACTTTAACTGTAACCCTGTGTCTAAACTTTTATAACAACAAATTCAATTACCTTGGTATACAATTCGGTGGTGTGCGATCAACTTCCCAGGCTGCAAATAACTTCATTGGTACGGGTTTCTGACCATTTTGATGGCTATGTTGATGTTGATGTGCATGGTGTTGTTGTTGTTGTTGTTGTTGTTGCAATTGATGATAATGCAAGCCACTTGCACCACCAGTGCCGATAATAGCACCACTTCCTGAACTACCGCCAACGCTAACACCAACTCCACTGATCGAGCCGCCTCCGACACCGCCACCGCCACCGCCACCGGCTCCCAATGCCGCTGCATTCATATTGGCGCTAAATTTATCCAATTTCGATGATTTATCCACCATTCTTATTGGAATGGTTGGGAGTTGAAGGGAAGCGCTGGCGCGGTTATATATGAAATGTATATGCTGCGTTTTAATGACGTTTTATAGAAATATAGATTTCCTTATTGCGTTTTTTTTTATTATTTTCAGAAATTTCAGCATTTTTAGATTTTCATAAAAAATTTTGAAAAATTTCATTCATTTCATTATGTATTTTATGTATGCATTCTTTTATTCTTTACAATTTGTGTATGTACACACGAAGTATTTTAATGACATTAGTTGTTGATTTATTTCACTGTTTCACAGAGAAAGAGAGACACGAATTTGGAAGACTTGTCATTAACTTTAACTTCGTTTATATTTTAACTTTACTGAATTATACACATAGGTTGTTTTTGTATTTTTTGCATTCATTCAACTAAGAAAAGCAAAGAAATTTATTACATTTTCTTTTCTTTCTTTTTTCTTTAATAAACTGCAAATGTACACAACAATATATTGCGAAAATTGAAAACAACCAATATATCCGCTGATACGAGCACAAGGGCGTGCCGCTTACTAGTAAATAGCTCGTTTGTCATTTCATTTACCCGACGACTTTAAAACGAAACAACCGAACGGCCGTATTTCTAAACAACAACTCAATGAATTGTATTATAATATATTTTGTAGCTTCACCACACAAAAAAAAAAAAAACAAAAGAGCCTAAGATAGAGAGCGAGCGAATTGATGAAAACAAGAGTTCGCCGCTCGCAACAGATTATGTACCTAAGCCATAAAAATTATCCTCCCACTCTTCACTCATTTCTACTATGGCAAGGCGAATGCATTTAGCGGCACAAAGAGATTTTATGATAGATTATGCATGAATTTCTATTTTCAAAAAGCGCAGGAAAAATATGATTTGCCTGAGCCTTAAAATTCTTATTTGAAAATTTCAAATCAGACGCGCGCACATTTACGCAACAAACATACAAACAAACAAACACACACACACACACGAGCGCGTGTGCAATTTTAATCAATTTTAATTTCAATTTCGAATCAAATATTCTTTTGCTTGTAATTTCATTTATACCACCTTTTTTCTTATGATTAACAAAAAATAAGAAACTATTTCTTTTTCGCAAATATTTAAAACAACAATATAACCCTATGCTACCCAAATCCACTACTCGCCACTACTGTCGCTGTAGTACTATTAAATAGATTTCTACACCGCTCTCGCATTAATGTAAACGTGACAACTTGAGATTGGCAACAATTTTATATATATATATATATATATGTTGCGCTCTCATCTGCACTGTACTCTCATTAAAACAAATACTCTCTCTACATGCTTGATATGACTGCTACTTGTTAATATGCTCAAGCATTTGTGCATAATTTCTTGTGTGTGTGTGTTGTGTGTGTGGAGATAACGTCTCTCTTACTCTCTTAGGTATAAGACTAAGTATCTCTCAATTTAAAAAAATAAACAAAAAAGTAAATTTTCGAGGTAATCCGAGTCCTATGCACTCAATTACTAACTGAAAACAATTTCTTATTGTGTTATTCCTGATAAACACTTAAACATAAAGAAACGCATTGCATAAATAATGTAGAACAGATGTTAAAATGATATATTAACAGAACATAAAATAAAATAGCCGTAGGCGTAATTAACATCAGTGACTAAGATTTGAAATTTTATTTTAATGTAGATGTAGAGATTAATAATGTAGGGAGCTGTTTAGCTATTTTCAGGGTTAAAACTTTAAATATCTAAAAAAATATTTAATATTAATTTGATCAAAGTTACAAATGAGTCCTCAAATCAAGTCTTCTTCAACATTACTTAAGAGCAACAAATTAAACATTACCTTTCCCACTTTTTTTTCTCTCTATCTATCTCTCTCTCGTTGATTGCACACTCTCCCTTGTTTCACGACATGATTTTTAATGTTCTCTTTGCTTTCTCAGTTGATAGAAGAATGCATTAAATTGAATAAGAATTGTTTTCATTATTGCAAAATTGCAAAATTTGGTTCAGAGAAGCACTGTCTATTTGTAATTCTAGCACCCCTATTTTTACATTTACCACATTCCCCCCCTCCCCATCAAACGTTCTGACGGTGTATCACCTTTGTTAATCTGTTTGTGACGAAAATCGAAGAACTTCACAATATTTTCATTAAACTGCATATGCTCAGTTCTTAAAGAAGAAAGCCAAAGCTTAGTGTCTTTGCTTGATATTATTCTTCTTAATCTGCTCTCAAGCCGATTTGTATGTCAAAACTAAAAAATTTGAAAAAAAATTTTAGTAATAAATGAGCATAAGATGGGATACCAATATTAAACGTAAACATATGCAAAGACTTACAAAAGAAAACGAAAAAAAAAAAGATGATAATAGATTAGCAAATAAAGATGCTCTCGGGATGCAAATAAAATATACGAACTTTCGTATTTTTAATCCAAATATCGATCGGTCTCCACGAAGATTGTTTGCTTAGTTTTTAAACCCGTCAGCGAAAGATGAGCGATATTTTAATTTTGTTAAAAGGTTTACAACGCCCGCAAGGACTCCACAGGACCAAATTCTAAGCATGTCCCTCTGTCCGTTTGTGTGTCAAAAATGAAGCTATTGTCTTTGCCAGGAAAATTACAAGTTCTTGGTATTGGTATTAAAAATGGTTCAAATCGGGCAAAGGACATGCCCACAGTGCCATGTAAACCGAGAGCAAAGGAATAAAAAATTTGATATTTTGCTCATTACTCAATAAAGTATAACAGATAAACGTATAAAAATCTATAGCACTTGTACGAAAATGGAAAAAATTGACCACGCCTATCGAACATTATAGGGAATTAAAATTTAATTTATTTTCAATACCTTTATAAGGCACAGAAAGAAGCTTCCAAAAACGCCCTTGGCCCATTTCAAATTTAGACTGCGCATAAACATGGCCGTATGTTCGTCCGTCCATCTGTCCGTCTGCGTAACAGTGTAAACATTGTCTGTCCGGTTAGCGAAAATGAAGATATCGCCTACAAATTTGCAAAAGAATTTGAAAGTGATTTAGAGCCACGTCTGCAACGCCCACATGCCTATGCAGCAAAAACGTAAAATTTTGAAAATAGAAAAAATCATCTGCGCCCTCTTCCTATTGCAAAGCATGAGAGAATGCAGTTCGTTTACTTTTTTTTGTCTTTTTTAGAATAACGCTGGGGGGTATAAGGGATTCGGTCATCACTGAGTATAATTTTCTTATTTGTTTCTATTTGTTTTTTTTTCTTTTATTTTTTTTATTAGCATTACTTCGCATACACATTTTCACGTATTCGGTTTGAACTTTTTGTGGTTTGCTCTTGCTCCCATTATTCGCGAATCAATTGTTATTTTCCACAGTCAAGTAAACATGTATGTACATACATTAGGCTTGCAATGAATGCCTTTATTGATGGGGGTTTTAATGCTAATGTTAAAAGTGTTTCCACATAATGGCCTTACTACTAAACTAAACTACTCTTACATACATGTGCACGAGGTTTGTTTTTTTTTTTGTTTTTTTTGTTTTACACCTACTATTAAATCTTTCTGTAAAGTGTATAAATATATTAAGTACACAAATCGCGTGTTGAACATTTAAAAAAGAAAAAAAAAAAAAAAAAAAAAAAAAAAAGACTGAATAAAAAAAAAAATAAATAAATAAATTTTACTCTTATAATCAACAACATCATTGAAGAACGCGAATGCACTAATTTTCTCCTTTCTGTTTACAATAAATATGTTTATGTATGTATGTATATATATATATATTAAAGAAATAAAATGGACAAATTAAAGAAATAAAAATAAACAAGTTGAAACTCGGCACATATATGGTTAAATAATTTCACATATCAACTTTGAAAGTAGGCGGAATTCACTTACAACATTTATGAGAATGTACTGCAAAGAAAATAATTCGAACAGTTATTTTTTGCACGACACCTTACGAGGCCAGAACGCGCAATAAGATTAACGGAAAATTTCCCAATAACCTCGTTTAAGGATTTAAGCCTTACGAGTTTTGTTTATATAAATCGTTTTTCTAAAGATAATTCCATGCGTCACAATTTCGTAAATAAGATGATAGAAGTTGCCTTCAAAAGCACTAAATTCGTTCTACGATTTCGTTGGAAAAGGAAATTGTGAAGATTTTTAAAATTATTTTATTTATTTTCTTTTTTAATAAGAATCGAAACTCGCTTTAAATCAAAAACAGGAAAAATTTTTTCATTCCAATATTCTTAGATGTTTGCATGAAAATTCTAAAGCGTATATGCATTCTTGAGGAGACAGGGACTCTCTTTAACCAATTTTCTCTTCCATTTTCTTTCTGATATTAAATGATTTATGTCTCGAAACAAAAGCGTACTCGTATAGGAAAAAAATAAACGTCAATTCTATAAAAATTAAGGAAAATTTTCGACTTTTGAAAACAGACAAGTAAGAAAGTTATGTATGTAAATATATATGTATATATATATATATACATATATATATAGTTTTTAACTTTCCGTCTTGTATGCCTTATGATAAATAAGCATAAAAAAAATAAAAGTTAAATCACTTGCAAATTTGTCTGGGCATGGCGTTCTTGGAAGTAAAGATTAGAGTGTGTCCTAAAGTAAATGCGGAAAACTTCGACTTTCTAACTTTTCCTACTCCCAAGTAACAAACAAAAACTTACAAATTTTTGCTAAAAAAAACAGAGTTGCGTTCAGTTTATTCTCCAATGCGGGCCTCTCCTCTGACCAACCTGGCCCATTTTTAATACTAACTGGCTTGGAAAAACTTCTAATGTTTCTACCGAATTTGAAATCGATATCTTCATTTTTGCGACGAGGAGAGTGCCAACAACTTATAGACGGATAGACATAGTTTAATCAATTGAGAATTTCGCGCTGATTAAGAATATATATATTTTATATATATTCCCTGGGTGTACATACGTCTTGGAAAAAAAAACGAAATGCGTATACCCACACCTTACAGTACTAAGTATAAAAAAAGAAAAATAATTTCATTCTTTTTGACGGTAAATACGAAAAATTCGAACTCAAACGTGATGTACGACTTAGATCGAATAACGCCACAACTCCCTACTCTTCCGTAAACAGGAATCGCTTATTTATTTTTTAATAAAAAGCATTCATTGACTCTGACCTATAAGACAATTTCGGAGATGTGGATTTCCAATGGAAAAAACTTCAAAGCGCTTTTCTATCTAAGGGCTTATTAAGACAACATTTATGTGTAGGTTACTCGGGAACCTGCCGATGTAACTCTGACGCGTATTCATGCATTCAGATTATTGTACTTTATATTCGCCTTTTTGCTATTGTTGTTGTGTACTTTATAGGATTTCCGAAAAGCGCGTCTGTTGTTCTTAAAAATGAAATATTTAGCGTAGCTCAGCTTTCAATAATGAATTTTAATTAGAATTTAATTCAAATAAATAGCATATCAAAATCCAACCTGAAAACTGAAATGCATATCCTTTAATTAATCAAATGCCTTGAGATCCTCTTTTGCGGATCTTAAAAAAATTTGATTAGTAAGCTAATAAATCCCCCAAATTTCCCCGTGGGCATGATGTGAAATTTTTGACTCTCTTCTTAACAACGCATAATACACATGGGCATGGTTTAGTTGGATGCAAACTTGCATGCAACGTTTGTGCCATACATCGCGATCCTTCGAAATGGAAGGAAAAAACCAATTCATCGCCCCAGCACCTGTTCCGACGTTTTCTAAGTATATGTTCTGAAAATGGCACCAATGAAGGATGGCACCAATTCATCTGCCCTAGCAGTTAGTTGTTCAGACGTTTCCTAAGTAAATGCTCTGAATAATATTTTTTCACTTTTTTTTTTTAATTAACATATAACTGGTCAAGATGTCATTGCAAAATATAGTAGAGTGTTATAAACAGAAAGCTTACAACATAAACTCATAAACTCTTTATGGCTTGAAATTTTAAATTTAAAACGAAAGTTAGCAAGCAAGTGCCCTAACGCGTTTTTCTTCCTTTTTAAGCTATTTGGTGCACAAATCATTTTCAAGTTGTTGCTTCCGACGTTGACATATACGCCCGCAGTCTTGGCTGTAAATATATATATATGTAGTATATCGTATCATGTTTGTGATACGAGATGTCAACCTTGCCATTCATCCAAAAGTAATATGTATATTTAGTTACCAATGCGGTTATAAAGCGCACCGTAAGATATTTAAATTGAGATTAAAGTGAAAAAGCAATAAAAATACTCAAAGATAGATTGTTCGTGCTGTTCACTGTGTACTTGACATCCATTATTTTGTTAGAAAATTTCGCAATCAGCGGGATATTAAGTATACCTTCGTTAAGGCGAATAAATCGAGAGAAGACAAACGATATAACAAATTTTATATCCTTAAAATTGAATATAATAAGCGCCAATCCAGTATTACTGGTTACGCAAAAACACAAGACAAACAAAAAAAAAAAAAAAATTGCATTAAAGAAATGTGTGAAAAAAACACGAAACAAACTGTCTCTCAAATCTTTATTACTGAAAAGACGCGGCACAGCTAAAATCATTGTTGTGTTTAAACAAATCGAGTAGGATAGAGAGAGAGAGAGAGAGAGAGAGAGAGAGAGATATGCAGAGCAAATGATAATAATACGCTATATACCTGCAAGACACTTATACTATTCACCGTCCGTATTGAGCACTAGGTTATTATGATACACTTTTGTATTCTTAATTTATCCGATTTTTTTTTTTTGGTTTTTTTATAGACTTTCATTTACCAACAACTTGAAAGAAAAAACAAAAAAAAAAAAAGAATTTGAAATTATTATTTCCAAGGCTAAATTACTAAATTACTGTGCTGGATCCTGAAGATGTTGAAAATTTCAAAATGTCAATTTAAAAGTTTAAGCAAGAATATATTGAAATAAAAGGCACAACTGACATTTAATATTCGAACCGCTTATTTGCATACTTTACGGGGAGAGAGAGTTTTTCTCCAATGAAATGCAAAACTTTCACAGTTTACCGCGAATTGAATCCTTTTTCAGTTTTTAATCAAAGTTTGATCAAAAGTAAGGGGAAAATTTCTTATAGATGCAATTGTGATACACTCTTTTTTTCCAACAAAAACCGATTATCTGACATTTATTACTTAGCATCATTTACTTTTCATTCGCTCGTTTACTATTTTTACCATCAAAATATTGTTCTGCACTTCGAAAAATATATTTAAAATTTTCTTCTTGTCACATTTTCATTGAACGTTTAATAGAATTTAATAAAAATTGATAAATTATAATAAATTTATTTATTAACTTCTCCGATATTCGCTGCTATTTGTTTGCGCTACTCAAGAAAGCACACAGCCCAAGCAAATAGCATCAACTTTCATTGGAGTGAAGGCAAAAAAAAAAAAAAAAAAAGAGTACAACTAAAAACTAGTTATGGTTGCCATCACTATTAATTTCGCTTTAAATATGGATACGAAATATACGGATATACAAAAATCCTATAAGATTATTACTTAGTGTCTACTCGAGCAAATAAATTACTTACGATAATATTTCGAAATTACTCACGGTAGAGTAAACTTACAAGTGAACTACAATTCGAACGAGTTTTATGTAAATGGATCCGTATAAAATTGCTATTTGGGTTCATAATTTTGCTACATTTTGAATCATTTACTGCACTAGAATCGATATAAAACTTGTGAATAATTCAATACCTAGTTCAATTCAATTCCGATATTGTAATCAAAATAATCTGCCGATATTATCGGTTGTCATGTACGTAGGTTATTGATTTTAAAAACTTGAAAACAATGAAAAAGGAGGTGAACTCAAAATGCGAAACCATTGCGAACAATACGATGCTATCCAACGCAATGAAGAAATGATTTGAATTTAGTTAATAACAGAGGTGAGACTATGCAGCAAAATCACCGTGACTCAATATGTACGAAGATATTTGCAATTTCGAAATTTCCTTAGCATAAACTGTACTTGATCAATCAAAAGCAATTTAATCCACAAATCATTTCAAACAAGAAACTTAAAACCTTGTAAATGAGCAGACGAAAAACAAAAAATTAAATAAATCAAATTTATAAAATACCTAACATTTTTGCTTGTATGCATTTAGAACGGTGACGCTTTAGCTAAGGCTATTGTTCGATTCGAAAGAATTTTCACAGGCTTTTATCAGGACTTGAAGGTGAAAAGAAAAAATTACACGCTTAACTTTATACTTGTACAACAAAACCAACTTTTGCTCCACATTCACTTTAGATTAGTAGGCTAAAGGATAAAATGTCAGTCACAGATCTGTGCAAATCTTGATCAAAGGATGAAAAAATTTGAAAGTGCCGTCCCTTTTGTTAAGATTACGGTTCTTCCATTTGCTCTTCGTAGAAGTTGTTATTGTTTTCGGGTTTTGACTATTTTCCATAGCTCCTTTCAGACTCTTTGTTTTATTTCACTTCATTTTCTTTGCTCTATTTGCTTAATTCGCCACTCGAAATAGGCCGGATGACTTAGCACGTACCGTTAACTTGCCCTTTAAGGATCGGCATTCTTGTGTACGACTATTTTGAACGCAATACAGTTCCTGCGCTCTTGTCAGTCTTTGATTATTTGTCCTTCTTCTTCCTGCGATAATTGGTTTCTAGTTTCCGTTTAAAAGTTTAGTAATCAACGCTTCTCCAGTTGTACTCCCATGCTCTCTCTCTTTATCTAGCTTCACTCGTTGAATTCCCACTTCGTCATTATATTATAGATCGAGCGAAAATCTCATTGAATAAACTAGATACGTTTTATATCGAATATTATTGCCAAACTTTGGTTTTCAATTGGAACGAATATTTCTTTTGCCCAGATGTTGTTTGTTTGTTTGCAACACGCGGCCTTGGCAACAACAAAATACATAGGCCCTCGTCTTTGCAGAAACATTGGCAACGACAAATATACAGGCCCCCGTCTTTGCAGATGCATATGCAGAAAACATATGTTTTTTCTTTGTATTGGTTTTTTTTTTTGGATGTAAAAGAGGAATGCCTGTAAATGATAAGACCCGGACACTTGATGCTTGACCTTGACACTTGATCTCGTGGTGATTTATTGTTTGATCTTTGAGTAGTTATTTATCTCGTAATAGTCCATTCGCAGTACAGGCCATTCTTGGGTTTATATCCAGAAGATTGAGATTCTTCATATCCAGCTTTCACTATATAGGGATCAAATTGATTGAAAAGTTACAATAAGTTATTGAGTTGAATAAGTTAAAGAGTTGATCAATTTTACAATTTTACCATGCATAGAAGAAGATTTTCTCTTCAAGGCCAACAACAAACATAAACAAAATTATGTAAAATGTATTTTCCTTTTCCTGAGTTTAAAGAGAGTTTAAATGTTTCGAATGTGTTTTCAAATTGAACAAACCTGTATACATATATATGTAATGTATACAAGATGTAAGATAAGATTTAGGCAAAACGTGGCAGGGCGCTTTTCGCTATTAATTTTTGTCGATGGATTAAATTTTTCTTATTTTTCATTTTTCCTTTCTCTTTCGCAAACAATTTGCAACATTAATTGCGTATATTTGTATATAGGTAGGTATTTTTCATTTAATTCATTTCAAAAACAAGAGCAGAGATGTTAAAAGGTACGTTACAATTAAAGTGTTTAAAGTCGCAAGTTTTACAAATTTGTCAAACGCAGTGGCGTATTTAGCAGTATAATCGATTTTTTAAATACAAAAAATATTCTAACAAATGTGATAAACGTATCCTTGTGTGCACATTTTCATATATTTTGCCATCGTTTTATTCTTACTTAGAAATTAATTATAATGCAAATACGTTTATATATATTATAATATTATTATATTTTATATACTGTTGTATGGCATTGCAGCTCTGTTATAGAAATCATAGAAAAAAAGTAATATTTGAAAAAGTTCTAATTAGACTACTTTTTATATACAACATTGTGCCGTTTAATTAAAATCTAAGCAAACAGTTTTTTTTTTAGCTAAAGTACTCAGTTTTCCAACAGTGTTCGTGAGCTCAACAACGAAATTTTATTTCTGCAGCTGTGACGTAAATTCCCCTTAAAACAAATTCTACCTCTTCGAAAAACTAGCAAGCCTAAGAAACATTATAAAAGTAAGCAGAAAATACATTAAATTTTTGGGGGAAAAAAAAAAAAAATTTTCTTTTCAATTTAATTAATTCAAATTTTACGTTCATATATTTCAGTAAACTTGCTGACATTTTCGTTATAAAGGCAAGCAGGCGAATTAAGTCGTAGAGAACGAGAAAAAAAAGAATACTAAAGGTAGCCGCTCGTTTCCCCGTCCTTCCAGAACTGCATCATCGTGCCGTTGTCTGTGTGTGTGTGTGTGTGTGCGTGAAAGAGGCAACCATTCGTACACCATTGTCATCCGGCAAGTGGTGAAAAGAGAGGAAAGGTAGTAATAATCGGTCAAACGAAGAGCGACCTTAAGTAGTGCCGTGCCGCCGATCAGAGGAGAGCTTCAACGAACGGAAAAAACGTGGTTTTGCCGCAAAATAGTTTAACTAGTGCAAAAACAAAACAAAAAGCGGGTTTTCTCATTTACGCTAACAAAAATAGAAAAACAAAAAAAATCGTAAAAAAGAACAACTACGGAAATGGAAACTCAAAACTCCAATCAAAATCCGACCGCTGATGGTGCTGCCCCAGCTACCAAGGATGGCGGTAATTCAAATCAAGAAGTCTCATCCACCAGTAAGTACATCAATAATGGCCAAATACCAAATACCATATGTATATTTATATGAATATGTAAATGGATTAGGCTACGAATTATACGAACTCATCATCATCGACATTGTTTTTTTTTTTTTTTTTTTTTTCTTTTTACCTCTCTGTGTGCACATATGTGCAAAATGATTTTTCGGGTGGGGTGTTATAAATGTGAAAAAAATAAGTCTAAACAAAATTTTTGTGCACAAAAAGAATATAAATGGCGCATAAAAACGCAAATATGTTCGTGAAATGTGGTTTGTTGTAAGGTCTTTATTACAAATTCCTTACAAGGAGGAAGTTGAATGTAAAAAATTAATCTCTTTCGTATTTTAATGCTGTACCGTTAGAGATTGATGTAAATGATATTAGTGCATTTTATTTTATATTTGCAATGTAATAATATAATAATGTATTCGTTTGTTCGGTCAGTTAACTGTTTTTTTTTTCTTTTTTTTTTTTTATTGTCGGAATTCAATCTGTATCATTTGTCCCTTTCATTTTATTCAAATAGCTTCATATGACATTGAATCTGGAAAAGAAAAATATTTGACAAAAAGTTCTTTGAAATAAATCAAACTAAAGCAAAGTTTTTTAGAAATTAAAAACTAAAAAAAAAAAAAAAAAAAAAAAACAAGGTCCAGTAGTAGTGTAAGTAATCGCATTCAATTCCAAGAAGGAAATAGATATTTCCTGTGAATATGTTATTATGAAGAGTTCGATGCATTTAAACTTAAGTAATACGAAAGACGGACGGATCTGTCCTTTTCCCTTTGCACGTGTGTTTATCAGTTTATTCCTATTGTTGTGCACAAATACACTGAAAAACCAAACGTCAATTACATATATATATATATATATAACTACAGAGGCATATAGGCTTATTAAAAATATTGATAACGAAATATATTTAAGTTAATTTATGAGCAAAACTTATCGAACTCTGTAGAAAAAAAGAAGCACTAATTAGTTGAAATAACTAACATTAAATTTATTTTCGCTTCTACTTCCAAAGTGTACCAATTTCATAATTCTGATTTTTTTTCGCGCGTTAAGGAAAATAGTTACATCAATTAAAATTAGTAAAGTTAGTATGGTCGATTAGTATGTGAGATTCAAACTTGTAAGCAATGAATTTTAACCCGTTTAAAAACATCTCTTACTTATATCGATCGGAAATTTGACATAAAATTGCAAAACTTTGAATTTTTCATATTTTTATTTAGTTTGTAGTATCGTATCCTAGGTATTACTAACACCTGCTTATGTGCAAAGCCAATGCATGATAAAAGTAAATAATAATAAAATTAATTCTTCCGTTTATTAATAGCGTGCATATTCTTATTGACGTAATTATAGGTATAATACTATGGTGAGGGTAAAGTGTTTCTTCTTTGGTTTGGTTTCTCGGTTGCTTGGGCATTACTCATTTTGATTGTCTTATTATTTTTGGCAATTTTTTTATTGTTTTATTGGTATGCTTAGCACAGGCACATAGTTTTGAATTTGAAAACAAAGATATGATTAATGTTGAAATTTCCTTTTGCTTGCTCATGCATGCGCTACGCGAATGAAAAAGTTATATCAAGTTTTTATCAATTGTTTACAGAGTTTTGGAAAAATTTCGTAAAGAATTTAAGTCAATATCCAATGAGTTTGTCCTGCAAATGTTTTAGATTAAGTTTCGAAATGTGTGTTTTTTTTTTTTTTCCTTTTTTTCTTTTTTTTTTTTTTTTTATTAGTATACAGTAATAATGAAGTGTATGAAAATATTCGATCTTAATATGAAAAAATAATTTTTTTTTTGTTTTTTTCTTTTTTTCTTGATAAGGAAAGGACGACAATGCATGCGCTTGCTCGCTTGCTGCGTCAATGAAAATCTCGAGTTTGTATTTCATTTATTTACAAACTCACTCTATAAACTATAAAATATTACTATTCAGTGCATGTATTGGCCTCTCCCCGCCGTACTTACTAATATGATTTTTTGTAAACAAATAGTTCGTGCTGTCTTTTTACACAATTTACATATAAGTTTTTTTTAAAAGTGCTTTTGAGGGTTGATTTTTGTTTTCTTTTTCTTTATTTTGTCATTTATTTATTTATCATTTCTCTTATCTCCTCCTCCTCCTATATATTTATTGTATGAAACACATATGAGCGCTTTTCAATGTTAATAATGATGTGTGTGTGTGTGTGTGTGTGTGTGTGTGTGTGTGTGTGTGTGCATAAAGCACATTTCAACATTTCGTTGTTTTTATTATAAGTTTGTAAAGTATTTTAGGTGTGGATACTATTTAGTTTAGGATAGTTTATGACACCATTTAACTATCAGCTGCTTTTCTCTTAAATTTCATTTTTTCTCTTTCCTCTTTTTTTTATATTTATATATAGCTCTCTTCTTTATATTTTATAGTTTAACAGTAAGAGTAATCAACTTTGAAAAATTGTTGTATTATATATGTGATATGAAAAGAAATTAGGCAAAACTTATCGGTTATAATTTCAAAATTAAATAAAGAAAAAGTAAAAAAAAATCCACTAAACAAACGTCAAAAATTTGAACCATATATTAGTTTAGCTTAATTAGGTATTAGTTAAGAAAACTGCAAATAAACTTGATCAATTATTATTCAGTTTTTTGTAAAATACTATAAACATTACCCCTTCAATGTATACTTACATACATCATCATGTATGCACATGTATGTATATATTAAGAGGTGGTGTTATGATTTCATATTTGGGTCATTGTGTGATTGAATCAATTGAAAATATTTTATTTTTTTGTTTATTTTTATAAAACCCCCTAACATTCACTTTCAATCACCTCTCTCTCTCTCTCTTCTCTTTTTGCCTCTCTTAATGCATATATATATAGATATATATATATTTTATTTAATTTTTTTTTGCAAATTGTTTTCATTTCTTATTCTCTGTTTTTCGCGTTTCACTTCATGATAGTTTTGTAAATATATACAATAAAATACTTGGAATAATTTCATTCACATGAGTATATATGTATATTTATAGCATCTTTCTTTAAGGACGAATGTGTAATGTTTACTATCATGCTTAGGCATATACGAGTTTCTGTACCACTTTGGTTAGGGAAACGGGGACAAAAGGCAGGCAGTCATGTTTTAGATATACGCATAAGTAAACATGACGTAGATCAGCATAATTAATTTAATGAAATACGGCTTACAATATCGAAAAGTTTTCTAAAGTATTGCACAAAAAAAAAAAAAAAAAAAAGGCAAAAAGACTTCTTCCCGGGTTAAGTTAAAAAATCGTCTGTCACTTTATGGTTTCTGATATCGAGCAAATTCGATTTTAATTCGAAATGTTACTCGATCTAGAGGTTTTACGATCGAAAAATTTTTCATCCGATAGTCAGAAAAATGCATACTTCATCAACTGATTACTCAAGCGAGTCCATAAACGATGGTCATTAAGTTTAGCATATGCCCCTATCCCAAAAAATGTAGATCATTGGAAAAGATTTCCTGTCCAGTTTCAATCTGTAGCCTATGTATTATAGAAATGTATTCGTCAGTGCTAGAGATCTGTCATTCGTGCCTTACCAAGTGAAAAAACAAAAAAAAAGAAAAGAAGAAAAACTTCGATTGGAGGAACGATTTGAAAATTGTTCAGATAATATGTGTAGGCTATCCAGCAGTTTGGGCGACATAATGACATATTACAAAAAAAAAGAGAAAGACGTAATTAATTAATATTTACATATAAAACGAGATGAATATGCAAAATTCGTAACAAAGGCAAAAATAGTTTTCTTCTATACTCACTTCAGAAATTAAGAATGAGACTCAGTGCATTTCGTACACACAAACACGATCACGCTGCAAGACCTGGAATAAAAGTGAAAAAAGCCGAAATTATTAATGGGTATATATTAGATTTAAATCGCAGAGGTATTTAAAAGTTCAAAAAAAAAGAAAAAAAATGGCTAAAGGCGCTGGCACTGGCACTGGACGATGCATTCGAAAATTTGGCAAACAATTTATTTTTGATTTCAAATTTAAAAAAAAAAATGTTTTTTTTTTCTTGTTGCTCGTATTTACAGCTCAAAATATTGAACCAACAAAACGTTCATTGCGCGTACAAACATGGAGAAAATTGCAAGAAAATAAATACGGAGTCGGATTCAATAGGATTTTTAATCGCATACCCGACTTTGTAAATAGCGATAAAGCCGCTTTAATGTTGGCGGAAACTGATGAATTCAAGAATGCCAGTAAGTATCTCGCTCGCTTCTCCCGCCTCTTTTCTTTATATTATATCGAATGTAAATGTAAATTCATATATGTTGTGTTGTTGTTGTTTATGCAGCGAATATTAAAATAATGATTGATCGAGCTTTACATGTTGCCAAATTTCAAGCGCTATTGGCTAACAAAAATTTGTACTTGCCGGGAACGCGTGACTCCAAGGCGCTGTACTTGAAAGTAGATGTACCGCCTAATGCCACAGATGAGCAAAAGAAAGAGATACTGAATGTCCAGGACGTACAGAATCATCGCACAGAAATTTGTAAGTATATCACTAATACTAATAAAACGACATACTCGAAATATTAAATTCAGAATGCATTCGCAAAAGATAAATCAAATGTCCTTTCTTCGCAAGAATCCCTATATATTCGAATTGTTATAAAATCTATTAAATTTTATCTTGATTTTCATGCAACTCAATGCTGCAATAGGTCTCCAAGAGTTCTGGAGATATAAGAAAAAAATTGTAACTTTAAAAATCGCTTAAATTAATTACTATAGATTTTATATATCGATCTTAATCGACTTTTCTTAAACTCCATCCCTCCCTTGCGCGATTAAACGTTTTGCTCCTTGAGTACCGAAATTTTCAATACGAACACTATTGAATCATTTCTTGCTTTGTATTTTTTAGGCGATCGAATGTTTTGTTTATAATAAATAATAATCTGAAATTACATATATAAATCTCGACATGTTTGTGTTTGTGTTTTTCAAATCGTAGCTTTGGATACTAAAATAAAACTGGACATGGTTGTCATTGGCTCAGTGGTGGTTTCGCGCGATGGTTATCGCATTGGCCGCGGCAACGGTTTTAATGATTTGGATATTGGTCTGCTTACGGAAACTGGTGCATTAACTCCTGAAACTATAATAGTTACCTTGGTCCATGACGCTCAGGTGGTCGACAATTTACCAACAAATTTGTTTCAAAAATACGATACACCTGTTGATTTAATTGTTACCCCCACCGAAGTGATACATGTGGATAAACGTTTGCCACGTCCAACTGGTATCTTTTGGGAGTTACTATCGGAACGTCGCCTCAAGATCATACCTGTATTGCAGGTTCTTAAAGAGACTCTGGAAAAAGAGGGTAAAGTTATTACCCTGAAAGAAATTGACACCGATATCGAGCAGAGTCAAAAAGGTCGCCGCCGTGGTATGATGCGTCGTCGCTATGGAAATCGCCGCTATCAGCGTCGGGCAATTTCACAGACTGACACTGAACAACAGCAGGGAGAAAATACAGAACAACGACGATTCCCTCGTCGAAGACGTTTCATTAATCGTCGACGACGCCCAACCAAAGTAAGTTCCATCAATTATTTCGATGGAAAAGTGTACTCGATGTAGCCTCTATTATCTGAAACTACAGCTACAAATCATCTATATTTAGATTAAATTATAAATTTCTTGCTTCTAGTCTGAAGGCGATCAATCAGGCATTGAATCTATGAGCCAAGAACGTCGAGCTGGCGGGGGTGGTGGAGATGGTGGCAACCGCAGATCGCGGCCACGCAAAAATCGTCCTGTTCTTGATTTCTCCATTAAGGTGACTAATCTAAGACGTGGCATGCGCATTAAAGACTTGAAAGCCGAATTGCGCAAACGACAATGTAATCCATTGGGTATTACTTGGAAAGGTAAGATTTTGAAACATTGAAACATGATTTTTATTTGTATTCTAATTTTTTTTTTTTGTATTACCACCTTTTCATCATTTTATATTTGTTAATAGCGTCCATCGGTCGCTGTTTCTTGCATTTCGGTAATCGTAATGGTCAACCGAGCACCGATGAGGATATGGAAAAGGTGTTGACTGCTTTAAGCAATCTTACTTTAACCATTAATCCACCACGCAACGATAATGCCCCTAATGCCAATGGAGCTGAAGGTGACGTTGGTGAACCGTCGCCTCAATCTAAACCACCAAAGACCATCAATCTTAATGTAAAGTTGATTAAACGCAATGAGAAAAAGAAAGTTGGTGGGAACAACGAAGTCAATGGAGACGATGCTGCGGGTGGCGACGCTAGTAACGCCCGTATCGAGTCTGTCGACGCTACTCCTGTATAGTGTGAGATGTGGGCTGTTGCTTAACGGTTGTACTTTTGGTTTAGACATTTGGGGACGTGCATTCCTTTTCATTACAGGATATTAAAAAATACTTATTACTGCTACTACCATTCATCCATTTCATTTCGGTTAACAATGCAGCGACGACTACGTTCAATTAGTCTTACGAGTTGCGTTTCTTAACGAGGTTTTCTCTCTTTTTTTTTTTTTTTTTTTTGTTTTTTTTTTTTTTTTGGGTCACATTAACACATACCATATACACATTCATACATGTGACGTTTTTTTATTTGATTGCAATTTTTAATTTGCTGCTTGCGCGGATGCATTTGTCGGAACATTTTCAGTTACATTTTTTTTTTTTTTTTTGTTTCTCTTACTATTATATTGTCTTTAAACCTTCGTCATTAATTCTATGACATTTAACTTATAAACGCTTTTAATCGTTGTTGGATATTTTTATTAGTAATATTTAAATTATTATATTATTCAATTTAGATTAGTTTTAATCTTAAAAGAAATAAGCACGTTTTCCAAATGTCCACCATTTGTGGAATGCAATACGCTTTACCGTCAGTTGATCTGTCGGCTAGATTGCGTATCTGTATTCATCAACTTTTCATGCTTTCAAAAACATATAAAAATTAAATTATTTATAAATCATACACGTATGTATGAAATAATAAACTATTATGGAATGAAGAACAAAGGAAAAATTTAATCGAAATTAACAAAAAAAAAAAAAAAAAAAAAAACAACAAAAAAAAAGAAAAAAAAAATAAAATAAAAAATTTTTATATAAAAAACGGAAAAAAAAAAAAGCATCTCTAGTGCGTTTATTTAACATTTATTATTTTTTTTTTTCGTATTTAAGTTGTTTAACTTTAGACTCTTGCTATTTGAATTTTTATTTGTCTTTTTACATTAAACGATTTATATTAAAAAAAAAATATGTATATATATGTATGTATATATATATATATATATATATATATATGTATATAAACTTTTACCAATTTTCCTTTTTATACAAATTTAAAAAACAAAAAACAAACAAAAACACTTTGTGAATGAATTGATGAACAAATAAATATTTGATTAAATCCATAGTGAAAGTATCTCTTACATTCTCCAAAATCGGAATCCTTAAAATATTTCAGGGGCCGAATCTCGAATAACGACCACTAGGTTTTTCGCATTCTTCTCTCCAACTTCTTTCATTTGATACTCATATCGCTGGCATTAAGAAAAAATCGCGGTGCCGACCATATTCATTTTAAAATTAACCTATTTTTAGGCAAGTAATATATCTTCACTTAAGGAGGGTACCAAATATTCCATCTTGTTTTTGTTTGCTTTGTGATAAAAATTGAAACGAATAAAATTTAGTTACTCGTAGCTTTGTGTGGGGATGGCCGGCCGATTGATTCGATTTTCGTAAAGCAAACGTGAAAAACTTCAGCCTCTAACTTCAATAATTTCCGAATAACGAGCAAAAATCCTGAAATTTGAAATGAAAAAACACGTGAGTTGCTTTCAGTTTACGCTCCATTGTGGGCTTTTGCTCTGACCAATATGGGCCACTTTCAATACCAACATGTGTGCAGAAACTTCTGCCAAGTTTGAAGCCGATGGCTTCATTTTGCGACCAGGAGAGTGCCAACAACAACACACACCACACAGACGGACAGACATAGCTTAATCACTTGAGATTTTCACGCTGATCAACGATATATATACTTTATAGCGTCTCTGAAGTTTCCTTTAGATGTTGAGCCTCCATTCCCTTCAGGGGAGCGTATAAAAAAAAAAGAAGAAAAAATCGCAATCTGCAGCTAATCGCTTTGGTCTGGATGAAGAGCGAAAGGGAAGTGATTTCACCCAAAAGCATTGCACGTAAATGTCTTAAGAATATTGAAACGAAAGACTTAATTATCTTTTTTTTT